ATTCAATGTGTGATTATGTAATAAAGATGCCCTTAAAATTCCGAGAACGAATCCCAAAGCGGTCAACAGTAGAGTAGCAGGAGAAGTAAGCATTGCACTAATGGAACTTACTGTAAATAAAAATTTAAATAAAATATGAAAACACCAAATGTCACTCGATTTTTTTCACATCTTTTTCCATAGAAACCGAACCGTTGCCCGTTTCAGTATAATATTGACCGTCCAATGAACCAAACAAGACTCATACAAAACGAACGACAAAAATAAAGAAAGTTATATAAGATGACTGCTTGTTATTATACGTGGTAAATCTCCTTTAGTATCTATACTAGTATTTGCTCATTGTTGCAGTGATGTGGCGAAAAATCGATTATTTTTTCTGCTGATGCTATAGCACTTTTATGTTATAACGCTACCATCTAAGCAGAAGAAGTGATGCGTTCTCCTTGTTTAGCAAAGCTTTGCAAAAATGGTTTGAGAAACAGTGACTAAATTCTAATGCGAAGCAAGTGTTAAGTGAAATATGAATCACTCTTATTTGAGATGAGAATGTAATATTCTGACCATAGCTCTGTGCGTCACGACCGTTCTTCATGTGTCAAACGCGGCTGTTTCCGTTTTTTTCCATCAGCACGCGAACACTCTTGTTGTGGATGGTGGATGACTTTCAGCAGAGTGTGTGAACTGTGTGCGTATCGCAGCATTCACATTGCCAAAAATCGTATCAACAAATATAACAGCATCATAGTGCTGACATCATGGTATCACACTAAAATGTGATTTATTCGACTCTCACTCATAGACTCATTGAATAAAGCCATTGAATTTTCTTCACTTGAAATCAATGTGAAAAATGGTCGCGCATTATTTCGCGTATAAAATACTCAAATTCGTTATACCCATTTTACTTGTTATTTCCATAGTTTCCTTTGTTGCCTATATGATTACAAAGTGTATTTATGGCATCGGCTCTTTCTGTAGCAGGTCGACTATGCACATTTTTACATCATTTTGAGCCAATATAATAATTTTGTTCATTTGTTTTCAGATGCTTCAATTGCTTTCGACGGGAAGAAGAACAAACGCTACCATATAGAGGCGCTCGGAGTTATAATTAAAGAAAATACATAAAATAAAATTGATAAATCAATTTTGCAACACAACGAAGACATTATTATTATTTGGAGACGTTCGTGGATGGCTGTACATTGGTACACGACTATATCTTTGATTTTATCTCGTTTTTTTTACTGATTTAAAGAAATTTACTTTTAGGATATTTTGAACAACTAATTTGATGCTATGTGATACTTTCGCCACCAATTTAATATTAATTTTGATAATTGAGGCTGTGAGAATGAAAATGACAATACAGGAAAAAACAATCTGAAAGGCATCAAGAAAAAAATTTCGCAAAAATGAATCATGAGTTCTGAATATGCAAAAGTGAAACATGAATTTACATGGGCAGCATAGGAGGTTCATGGTTCACTTTTGCGTATTCAGAACTCATGTTCACTTTTGCGAATTTTTTTTTCTTGATGCGCTTCAGAATGTTTATTCCTGTATTGCCATTTTCATTCTCACAGCCTCAATTTTATTACTGTTATTCGTTCCCATAGGCTTTTTTTCCTTACAATTTTTACATTGGATACGTACATTCTGTTGTAGATGACTTCTGCTTGAAAAGCATTTGACAAAACCATTTTTTTTTTCTATATTAACGATTTCTGAATAAAAATTATTGAAATCCCAAATGCAATAATTCTCTTTCAGTTGTTGCCATCAACCGGAATAAATGGAAGAACAACAAACGATACTCTTAAGAGACGTTACGATTAAAATAAACGCAGTGATAAATATTCAATGAATTTTTGAAAACCCTCCAGTATTTGAAATCAATTAAAAATGGTTGTTGAATCGTCGCCCGTTTTTTCAGGCGCTTTGCTTAATTTCTTCTTATATGCCATTTTCCCGCTCCTGTTTGCAACCTTGATCATTTTATTCCTCATCCAATGTGCATATTGCGTATTTTCAATCTATCGCAGGTGAGAACTCTGTTGTGGAATTGTCTACAAAATGCCGTTTTTTTTACAGCAAATCAATTGTTACAATGTAATTCATGTACTAATTTCAATTAATTTCAGTTGCTATCGACAGCGAGAAGAAACGCAGGAACAGCAAACGATACTTGTATATGGTGTTAAATCCTATCATTGATAATGTAAAATCAAAGCCATTCAAGATGGTTTCTCACAGGTAAATGAATTGAAATCAAATCGGAAGAAATTTTTCAAAGAAGAAACGTATCGATACACTCATTATCAATCATCCAAACGATTTCCAGCCAAACAAAAACCACAAAAATGACAAATTGTTCAGCAGACAAGTCTTTATTCGGTACGTCTTTTGAATACTATAATTATATTTCATTTGGTTATGAATTAAAATCATATTTTTTTCATGAAATGCTAAAAATAAATTCGTTTACTAAAAATGATTGCATCACTTATTATTGTGTCGAAATGTCAACTTGCCAATTTACATTTATGAACTGTTGATATACTCGATTGTAGACGATTTATATTTTCTGCATGAGTTAGCATCCGCAAAACAAGTATTTTCAAAGTATAATTAATCATGGACCAAGATTCATGGCATCATTGTTTATAATTTTGACATCGAAGATCATTCAAGATTTTGCTTTTGATGAAGCCAAACTGTTTAATTTCATCTATTTCAAGTAAGAATTTCAAGTCATTACTTTGAAATTGACAATGGAATCGCCAGATTTGACACTTGAAATATTATGTTATTTCATAATTCTTGGTGTAGCTTCAATCATTGCTTTATCGATCATTACGTTTCTAATCATTGTGTGTGTTCGTTTCATTTGCTCGATTTGTAAAAGGTGAAAATAGTTGTTCCAAGAACTTGTTTTTATTATCGTGAAATCGAGATTAAAAATCCCAAACATCATTTACTTCCAGGTGTTGTGAGAAACGAGATGAGCCACCATACTGGAGATCAGTATCGTTCAGTGATATTTAAAGTTTACCACTACTAGAAAAAAATGCAGCACATTTTTTACACGCTTTTTTCACATACAAATAGATCCATCCTCGTAAGATTTTGCACAGCCGTTCAACTAGATTGTGACTAATGATAGTTAAACTCTTTAAAAGTATAACACGTTATTTTCACACAAAAAAAGTATATGAGTGCTACCTCACGACAAGTACCTAAAATTTGAACACCTCTCAATCTTTTTTTCCGACAATAAATCTAGTCAATTAATTTGGTCTAATTGAAACAATTGTAAAAGAAACTTGTTCACCGATGTTAATAAATGCAAACAATAATTACATTATGATAACGAGTTTACGTTCATTCTTATCTAATGAGATATCGAAATTTATCTGAATGTGTTGAAATCTCTTGAAAATCTTATCTCAGACGGAGCTGTAACAATGTTGATGCTTTGAATGCTTCGACAGTTTGCATTTTCTTCCGAATTCTTGACTTTAATTCCCATTAAACGAGTTAATTTACTGGAACAAAAAAATGGGTATGATTAGTGAGTTTATCATTGGCATAAGTCATGTTTTAATTTTGTGTTGGCCATATATGTTTGGCATTTTATTTCTCGTTATTCTTCTGTCAATTCTGTTTTATTATTTCATCTTCAAAGAGCCACAACGCAGGTGAAGATTTCAGTTTCATTTTACTCCCCATTGAACATATTTCTTTTTATTTTATAAAATTCGATTTAATTTAACAGAGCTCGAAAACTACATCGGGGAGATCAACAATCTCAGCCCTTGAACGGTAATACATAACGCACTTCAATCACTTTGAATCTTGTTTATAATTTACTTTACAAAAGATTTCTTTCACGCAGAAACGGATTGCTAGTCTTTAGTAACGCACAGAAAAAGTCATCATTTGGAATTTCCAGTTTCATGTCAATCGTCGAATGAATGATAAAAATGTATGAAATGGAGTCGATCTTTTGTTATACGCAAGCTCAGCACTGAGATTCAAATGAGTTGTTGGTATATTTAATTCACTAGGCTAATGAAATGTTATGAAATGAATAAAGAATTTCGACTCTATGTTTACGTACACATTATTACTGATCTAATTTTCATTATGTGCCTGTTCAACCACAAGATATTGTTATCTACACCTACAGCTTATTATCAAAGCTCTATCTTATCCGAATATGCTGATTTCATTGGATGCCATTGCAGAACTTCTTATACAAACGAAATCATTTTTAAAAGTGGAATGCATGAAGAATAATGATTCTCTTGAAGCTGCCATAAAGCAACCTAAAATGTATAATTGATCGCAAGAAAACTGCACATAATTTTGGCACAAGCCTAATAAAATCTTACGACGAATGAGCTTCGAGCTTACAGGATATTCTCTTTGTGTGTATATTTCAATATTTTTGGGCTGAATGAAAAAAAAGTCAAGTTGAGTGCAAATCATCCAGAAAATTGAATCTATTCCTCTTTGACGATTGAAGCAAATGTAATTTCCTACCCATTCAGCCACTAACATCACAAATTACCTGCCATACATCCGAGTTATCATGGAAAAATTGTGAGAAATGATGACTTCCATGTTAAAAGTTATGAGTGGAAATAAGTGAACAACCTTATAGTTTTATTTACAGTAATTGAATGTGATTTTATTTTGTTTGTGCTTAATCAATGGTTGCTTAGTTAGATTAATAAATCTAAGTATATTTCGTTTATTTCAACATTCCATAGAACAAAATAATGAGAAAATAGTTATTAAAGTGTCTGGCTATGCAGCGGCTCTTGTTTACATTCGGTAGCTCCGCGCGCCAAATCGAACAGGTATGAACATGCTCGTAGTGCAACGCACTCAGTACAAATAGGGTGTTCGGATTTTTAGAAATTTAATAAAATTATTTGATTGTTACGTTCAGAAACCGAAAAATGAAAAAAAAATAATTGCCCGTTTTTCAACCGTTCCTCCTTGGACTTCCGACCTCCTTGGACTTCGGCAAAAAATCGATAAACTTTCAGATTATCGGTTTAATATCAGTTTTATATATATACTAGCCAAATTGACTCGCTGCGCTCGCCGTTTCGGCTAGAATTCGCCGAGTTGCACTATTTTCAAAACTTCGGGTTATTGTCGCTATATTTGTCATTACTTCAATTCTTGTGTCATCCTCGGCTTCTTGCGTCATCTCTCGTACGTTCATTTTTTTCGCAAATAATCTTTTTTGGGTTTTACATTCGATAGCTATTAATATGTCACTGACCTGACAACAAATCAATCTAGCTACTTTGATTCGAATCCACAATACAACCGTTTGTTTTTTGGATTGGAAGATTACAATTTTGGTGGTGTATTTGGAGTTTGCCTTACATTTTGCCAAAATTCAATTATGGTAACTCATTTTCTGTTCCACCGCATGAACAACAATAAACATTAGAAACCATTAATACCTTTCTGTGTCTGGTCGTTTTTAAATCAGTATTTCAAGCTTCATTCTCTTTCAAGCTACTCTATCTCTATCTCTATCTTAAGCCAATCGACGTGTGTCTTCTCTCCATTTTAAGTATCTTTCATTCAAAACAAATTTCACTCATGTATGGTTTGTCCTGATGCGAAGTATTATTTTTTTAATTTATTTATTTTTAAATGAAATCAAATCTCTTTTACAACAATACGCATTTAATATTTCATTGCCATCAATCCACATTAAAATAATATGGAAAAACAATGAAATTTTTTTTTTCGTCAAACTCCAAAAAATTCAATCCGAAACCAAAACTGCATTTATAAGATTACTCTTGAGGCCGCGCGAAATCAAACAGGAAGTATAACAATAAATCCATGAATCAAAAAAAGGAGAGATAACTGGCTACAGGCACACACACACACACACACATAGACGGACATTCAGTTTTATATATATAGATATAGGTATTTGATCTTGTTTCATAGTCACACCCACTGGAAACGACTTCAAGATTTTACGTGAAGAACTTTTGCTGAGTGGTTTTTTTTAATTCATCTTTGTGCCGTTCTTGGAATTGGTTGGAATGATTATTGGAATGATAAATATCTCAATTTGTTGGTAATTGCAATTACCGAACTCACAATGTGCTGTGTATTAATCATATACTGTCATATTTTTTCACGCTGGTGGAGCACCTAGCCCATGGATGGATGTACTATGGGTTAGCTGAACTATATAACTGAATGTCAAGTTCGTTGTGTATGAATTTTGACAGAACTTCTGCGGCCATCACCTAGTTGCGCCACATATCACATCGTTCCATAGACATTGTGAGTTCACAATTGCTTTCGATCCCGCCTGATCGATTTATGATTTTCTTCCAATGCGCAGCAACATACAAGAAAATGGAAAAACATACCTTTGGCCTATTGTGTTGTCAGCTTTCTTCAGGAAATGTTTCTGCCCTTCGTGTTTTGTACTTCGACCGTTTGTGCTGTTCATTTTTATGCATCTTTCTGCTTCTTCGCGATTACTTTCAATTTTTTTGTTATAACAACTAAAGTATTTCTCAGAAATAAAGAGTCAATTCGAGATAAAATGTGACACTTTCGACTCACACAGACACTTGTGCGCAACTGACACTTTGTGCGCCTATACCCTCATACACTCACCGCTATCAGCGTTGTCGTTTCTCGGCTGATGCAACAATTATACAAGTATGTAAAATCCATTTGCGTCTTTGTATTATTCATAGTTATAAATAGATATTCTGTAACACATCTGTTGTCTATACATATTTGATTCCTCTACAGTTGTCTTCTGTAACCTGTGAAAAGTGCTTTGTTTACCATGTTGAAAAAAGGAAAAATGGAAAGAGTTCGAAGATCGCTAATTTTAAGAAATCAACATGAATGCTGTTTCAATGTCTAGTTTTCTTCTATTTCTTTGACAAGCTACAAAAGATCCCTTCAATTTCTCATCATCATTTTTCTTATACAAAAATTACCAACATAACATAAATCACAATCAAAATGATGAATGATAATCTCAGTTGAACTAGCATTTTTGCTTATATTTTATACTAAAAGTAAGTCACACGGTAGATCCGTATTGAAATCCGTGGAAAGTGATATGAAAGAAAGGTCAAGGCGCAGAATTGAACAATCTTGAAAAATCGTGAGTACGATTGGTTGAAAGTTTTGGGTAAGGACTTCAGTTTCACGCATGATGTGGTTTCCATCGCTTCGGCTTGTTCATACAAATGGATGTCGCGTGAACTTACAGCAGATTCAAACAAGGATTTTTCTGTACATAATTGTAAAATGATCGTATTAATCATTGTATATTGTTCGAATAGTGAAATCAATAATGTTGTAGAAAAAAAAGTTTTACTTTTCTTTGTCTCTTGATCACATGCGAAAGTTAGCCGCGTTTTGTGATCATAAAGAACTTCTTCTTCCACTTTACATATTGAAATTTGGTAGTACAGAAGCTCTGTAGCAAAATTTCTGGATACATAATACGGAATGCGACCGTTGACTGTTTTTCTACGTACGACGTGTTTTCTAACGAAATGTTTCATTGTAATTAATAAAAATACATATTTTTAAACAATTTTTTATCGATAATTACTTGTCTGGGATCAGGGTGTAAATTTGCGGGGACAACAAAATGCCGCAAATCAATGCCCAAATCATCAATATCACTGCCATACGCATGGCGACTCTTTGAATATTCACAATACTCTTGACGAAATATTTTATTGAACTCACTTTAATATTGAACCCTTCGTGTTCGTCTCTTTTTCAGAGCAAAAAGAAATTTCTTATTTCATCAATGACAAATGACATGCGATCAAGACCGGTCGTAGTGTTTGATTAAATCACGCCACTTTGCGTATAAGTGTCGATCATAGAATGTGTGTAAAAGTCATTGTCTTTGTAGTGTAGTTGACAGCGGTGCATCTACATTGGCATCGTATGAGTATATGCATTTTGGGGAACGCCTTGATTTATACACGAAATCTTTCTTTTTCTAAGGATTTTATTTCGAAAATATTGATTCCTTAAATTTCCATGATTATATCAAGTAATGTAAAGCTTTTAAATTAAAATCAAACAAATACTGAAATGAAATGGTTGAATGTATTTTATTTGACTATGGTAATTTTGATTCTAGCATTACATTCTATCGTTTGGCCGTAATACATTTGTGTACGAATAACCACATCACAGTTAATTAGATGAATATTCAAATCTTGGAAAATTTGCCGAAATGACAGTTGTTAGCATTTTTTCTCCCTACAAAAACAAAACTCTGCTGTTGTCAAATAAGTTGTTGAAAATATCAAGAATCGGACGACTGATTTGAATTCTACATTTTTTCTACAATTTTATGGAATCTAGCAACAATAGAGGAAGATTCAGTTTGTGGAAATTTCAATTTGTGACCAAGATTAGAGTTTTATCAATTTTGGACCAATTTTCATGAATCGTCTCAATATCGAACGAATGCCCATTCGTCATATTCGAAAACAGACAATTGATTTTAATTCTACAATTTATCTACAATATTTTGGAGCGAAAATCTTCATTCGAAAAAAAGTTCGATTTGTGGAAAATACGGTTTTTGACCAAGATTTGAGTTGTTCCATTTTATAGCAGTTTTTCGATAGCCGATCACTCAAAAAAATTGTTCCTACATAAAAAAAAGTAAAAACACTACATTAAACTACATAAAATCTACAATTGAAATCGCCCTACACGAAGTCATTTCGGCAAATTTTCCAAGATTTGAATATTCATCTAGTTAATTTTGGTTTCAAACCAAAATATTCTTATACAAAAACCATTTTTTTTACATAATCAACATTGAATTATTATTGAATGACAATCGAGCTAAAATCTCAGTTGAACTTGTAATATTATAATGGTAGAAGAATTGATTAATTCCAAGACATTGACTCAATAGTGGTTCACATGGTTCTAGAAATGAAGGAAATTGACGACAGATGCAAAAATATTCGAAAAGTACGAGTGTGATTGGTTTGAAGAGTCGGTAAACAATTCGTTCAATGTGTCGCAAGATGGAGTCTTCATTCGCTGTACTCTTTCGTGCATCTTAGTGTTGAAAGAATTTTCAGCTTCTTCCAGCCAGTATTCCTCTATAAAGAATGATCTAATTAGCAACCGTTCCTCTTCCTTGTTACAATTTGATCAATTGATGAATATGCAGTTCAAAGAGACTTACTTAGTTTTTTTTCTTTATTGCACGCATGCGTCAACTTTGTTTTGTATTCATTTTTGACCTCCAATTCAAGCTTTCTCAATGAACCATCATAATAGTATTGAAGCTCTTCAGAAAAATGTTTGGTTACATAATATGGAATCTTCGCCGCAACTGTTCTCCTACGAATTAAATGAGTCCTTTCGCGAAATTCAATTGAAATCAATGACATTTGTGTAGGAAAAACACTTATGTTCAATTGTTCATTGCAACTCACTTTTCCGGCGTCAATGTGTAAATTGAGGGTGATACAAATAACAATTTCATGCCCCAAACAACTGCCGGTATCAATATCAATAGTATTACAGGAAGAAGCACTAACAAGTGATATCCAGCCTAAAAGTGATGAAAAAAAAAATTATTATGGCTCTTGATTTGAATTGGTGATGTTCAGAATTGGTTTTTTATAACTATCAATTACCTCACGTTCCCACCATTTTTCACTTTTGGGAATCGGGTCATCATTTTGGCTGTTGAGATCTTCGTCTGCTTCGTCATTCGTGCCCGTAGATTTATATTCGAATGAATTGTTATTCTCATAGAATCCGTAGTCAGTTTCTATGCTCAAATTCAAGTCGTAAGAACTTCGTTCAATTGGATTGGACAAAACCTTTTTCGCCTCTTCAATTTTCACAAATGCTTCTTTCGCCCGGGGTGCACGGTTTTTATCTAAATGTTCAAAATTCAAATAAGAGTCAAATAAACATAGCACCAAAGTTATTTATCTACCTGGATGCACAAGCAGCGCGAGTTTTTTAAACGCTACCAAAATATCCTTGTCGGTGGCATCTTTTGCAACTTCTAGCACTTTGTAATGGTTTTTGCAACTAAGAAAAGTTTAAATTGAATTTTTTCAAATTAATACAAAGAATACAATGCGTTATTCAAAAAAGACGACTAAGCTGAGGAAATCATACCCAAGAATTCGTCGCACATGTTGATCATTGTCGAATTCCCGCACCTTTTCCAATAAATCTGAAAAAAGACAATATTATTATTACAATGAATACTGCTATTAAAAAGTAAAAAAAAAGTTCGTTTAAATTTCTTCAACACAATTTTGTTGCATCAAACAGAGGCATAGATAGCTGATAACCGGATTTCACATCAATTCTTGCATTGTAAGCACAATTTCACAATATTTTGCAATGACTCATTTCATTGCATCAGCCGCTTGCTTCAAACTGAATAAGCATGCACAGCAACACACAAGAAAATAGGAGAAAAATTACCTTTGGCCTCTTGTGTTGGATAAAGCCTTTCAGCTTTATTCAGGAAATTGTTCGCTCTTTGCGTTTTGTACTCTTTGAACGCTTGAGCAGCAATTTCTATGCATCTTTCGGCTTGTTCACGATTACTCTCCATTTGACTTTGATTATGACAATTGAAATGTCAATACGAAATCAAGAGTAAATTTAGTGAAAAATGCGAAACGTTTGAGAGTGATGCTTTGCTGTTGCCAATTAGGATTCAGAATAACCAAACTGAATGTGTTTTTACCGCAAATCACCATTCGTGTGAAAACACGACTACTGTTTTATCGCTATCATTTAGCAATGCAACAATTACACACGTATTGAGTGCACTTGCGTCTGTGTTATTTTGTTTATAGTTACAGCTGATTATTTTCGTTATTTCTCAAATCTCTGTGCGTTGTTTCGATAAATCATAGTCTATGATTTTCGAAGAAAAAACTAATAACACTAAAATGTTCTATTATTTCCACATTTTGTGTTCAGAAATAGTTTAGAGCAAAATACGTATGTTTCACATTTATATTTTGGAGCCGAACGAACTAAAATGATATTGTAAACAATACTTTTGACAGCTTGCGATCCCAACTCGATTCTGTGTTCGTACAAAAGGCACACGACTGTGTTTCAATCTTATTAGCGTATAAGAACAAAATTGAGAATGTTTATAAAACGACAAAGATAACGGATGCTTGTGTAGTGTAGCCCATGGCACTATATCTACATACATTGACAGTATATGAGTGTGTGCGCTTCAAACCTGTATGTACTACCACATGGAATACGCTTGTATGCGAATACGATACACATCGCGGTAGTTGTTTGAACTTCGTAACAATGAGACTCACTGAGTGAGTCACAAATGTATTTCTTGGTTTGAAAAGACATTTGATTCTCATTCAGAATATGCTATTATTCAGAGCCGTTTTTTATCAGAATTTTGTTCTAAATCGAAGCATCAATGCATCAATACTGAATTCAATTAAGCACACTACAACTTGAAAACGACTTACTGTGTATCTTTTCTTGGTCGCATGCAGAAGATCATCCTACGAGAGGGATACAAAGTGGAGTTATGACTTATTTTTAAACGATATTTCAATAAAACTTGTGAATTTAAAAAAGCGGTACACGGTTTTTTGCTGCTTTATTTCATTTCAAATGCGTTATCAAACATGTGAATGTTGTATTGGTTAAGATTTTTAGAAAAAATATTCCTAGAAAGAAGAAGATTATTTTTGATGACATTTACTTATTGTATGTTTCTATCTACTCAACTCAACTCAATACTTGACGAAATAAGAATATTGATATGGCAAAAGTGGTACAAAGAAATGAGCAATAAGAAAAATGAAAATTATTAAACGAGTTTAGCGGTTGCTATATTATGCTGATAAACCTTGAAAACAAACTCTATTTCCGATGACCATGGTGAACGTCCGTATTTGTTCAAAAATGCAACGCACTTCTTCTTGATGATGGCAGATTCAGTTTGATTGTATAAAATATCAATGTGTTGATTTTTGGCCACGTATTTGTAACATGGATCCGCCGTAATCAGTTTTCGATCGATTGGTGCACGCGTTGGCTCGCATCTTTCGCATTTGCAATCGAAGCCCCAACGAGATTTCAATGATGATTTTCGCATAGTTGTCGAAAGACCATCGATACCTGAGTATTTAATGAAAAGCTGTTCACCTTTTTCAATTGGTCGTCCCGTCACATTCAATGAGTAACTTGAGAAAAGATATCCGATAATATTTGGAGCACATGAATGATTTAAGAGTGAAGTAACATTGGCCACAAACGTTCCATTTTCAACACCGAATGAATTGGCATTGGAAATCAAAGTATGATGCATAACCAAATGCATGAGGAAACGCTTCTTTCGATCACTATCGAACAAACCGCTGACTTTTGGCAAATTCATCGCTGCTTTGTAAACTTTATAAGCCTCCGACGGGCCAAATATGTATGGTGCTGATGTTGCTAGTTTGAAGAAGAAATAGTACTTTGAATTTGGATCGTCCAATGATGTCGGCAGTGTTTCGGGATCTTTGAGCAAGGCATGTTCAACAAATTGCATCAGACTGTCCACGTCGGGAAAACTATCAATAGCCATCAAAAGCATTTTAATCTGAAATCTCATTTCAAGGTCAAGGTGTGGAAAAAATGTGCCACATTCCGATTTGTGTATTCGATTGCGATTCAAACAATTCAAACTGCAAAATGTTGCATCGGCGCAGTTTGGACATGCAAAACAATTTGTATATAGTCGTAAACAAGTGTTGCACGTCAGCAAGTCATCTCTGATTTGTGGGATGTCCCTTTCCAGTACAACGGTTTTTCCAACTGGAATGTCGCACTTTGCCACCAAATTCCGGCCGAATTCTGCATTGTATTTTATCTCCACTACATTTACCATGCACGGGAAATTCTTGTCAGCTTCGTAATCGAGTGTCGGTTCGATTAGTTTCATACGCTCAACAGTAGACATCAACTTCAAACTGTCATTTCTACGCTTTTCCAGCTTCGGTATCAGGCGATCAGGTAGATTTGCGTTTTTTGCCTGCTCAATATCGACCAAGACTTCTTCATACAACATCATGTGGAAGAAACACGCTGATCTGTTGGAATATGCTAGAGCCGCGTTTTCAGAGCCAACTTCGGCAAAACATAAACTTTGATGGTAGCATTTCATTGCTTTCATCTAATTTTCTTGGCTAAACAGTTCGTTTCCTTTCACACGCCATTCAAAAGTGTTCACAATGTCATTGTATTGTATGTCAACTCAAACCAATACGCACGTTAAGTCAATCGCATCGAACCAATTTGATTTGAATACCCTTTTGTGACGAATTCCACGTGTGATTTCATATTTGTAAAACGTCAACTATGCTCTATCGGCTCATGCCATCTCTGTCACTCTTCTGCGCCTACTGACGATTCTGAACGAGAACCGATTATTTTTCGATACTTACAAAAGGCAATCTTTCGAGAGAGAAAACAATATGCAAAGAGATAAATTTGGAATTGGGTTTATTTTTCTGAGATATTTTATTTAAAATATATTGAGGATTCATGCGACAGAAGTAACAGAAGAAGTAAGTGCTGCATCAAATTACAAAATATTTCCCAAAATATTTGCGTATACATTGAAAACCATTTCAATTTCCAGTGACCATGGGGACCGTCCGTGTTTGTTTAGAAATTCAACGCACTTCTTCCGAATCATGGCAGTTTCTTGAACGTTGTCTTGATTTTTGACTACGTACTTGTAACATGGATCCGATGTAACCAGTTTTGGATCGATTGAAGCACGTGTTGGCTCGCATTTTTCGCATTTGCAATCGAATCCCCGTCGAGATTTCAATTCTGCTTTTCGTTCATTCGACGGCATTTCATCGAGTTCCTTTGAGTAATTGATGAAAAGCTGTTCACCTTTTCTGATTGGTCTTCCTGTCACACCGATTACATTACCTCTTAAAAAACAACTTATAATATTGGGAGCACATGAATGATTTATGAGAGAAGTAACGTTGGCCACATACGTAGATGCTTCAGATCCAAATGAATTGGTGTTGTGAATAAGAACGTGATGCATAACCAAATGCATGAGGAAACGCTTTTTTCGATCACTATCGAACAGAATGGTGACTTTTGGCAAATTCATCATGACTTCGTAAACTTTATAAGCCTCCGACGGGCCAAATATGTATGGTGCTGATGTTGCAAGTTTGAAAAAGAAATGGTACTTTGACTTGGGATCGTTCAATGATGTCGGTAATGTTTCGGGTTTTCCGAGCAAAGCATCTTCAACAAATTGCATCAGACTGTTCACGTCGGGAAAACTGGTGATGGCGAACAGAATTGTTTTGATCAAGAATCTATCTGGAAGTGGTCGGTTTGGAAAAAATGTACTGCACTCCAATTTGTGAATCTGATCGTTATTCATGCAATCAACGCTGCAGAACATCACATCAGCGCAGCTCGGGCATGCCATACAATTCATGCATGGTTGTGAACATGAATAACACACCGACGGCTTATCCCTGAATCGAAGAAAATCCTTTTCCATCAAAACAGTTTTTCCAACTGGAATGTCACACTTCGCAACCAAATGACGACCGAATTCCTCGTTGTATTTTATCGCCACGACATTTGCCATGCACGGGAAATTCTTGTCAGCTTTGTAACTTAGTTTCGGTTTGAATTCCTCTTTACGCTCACCCATTGACATCAGATTCAATGTATCCTTTTTACGTTGCTCCAGCTTCGGTATCAGCCGATCAGGTAGATTCGCGTTTTTAGCGAGTTCAATATCAACCAAAACTTCATCCAATATCAACGCATGGAAGAGACATGCCGACCTGTTTGAATATGCTAGCGCAACGTTTTCAGAGCCAACTTCGGCATAACACAAGCTTTTATTGTAGCAATTCGTTGCTTCGATCCAATTTCCTTGACCAAAAAGTTCATTCCCTTTTGAGCGCCATTCGGTCGATTGTTGATTGCTTTTCCGAGTTCGTTGCATTTTAAGTAATTCAATCAACATACCATCTAGTGGTGATCTTTGTACAGATGCAAAAATATCGACGTATTCAGCTCGCGCTGTCTCCTTCTTCCATAAGTTGTCCATTTTTGACGAGTTCTGTAATTAATTTGACCATATTGAGAAATTATGTATTGCATCATAAACGTAGGTTTTTCCTTTTGGAAATGCTTCATATGATTCAATCTACATACCTTTTTTGGCAATCTCCTTAAAATGCACTCAAACGCGGCAGTTAAGACAATCAGAAAATTACTTGAATGAAGCAACAATTCAGGATGAATAAATGTTATTCTGTGTCAATGGAAAAGTAGAAATAAAAATGGCTGGCAGTGTGAACGTTTGCACCCTTTCTGTGATCACAAATGAATATTGTGCTTGCTAAAGCGTCAATAGCGTTCACACTTGTCGATGTATTATATGTCGACGTGAACAAATACGCTTACACTGAGTCGAACACACCACGCCGATTTGCATTGAATATCCTCGTGTGCCAAATTCGATGTTTGATAATGTGTTTGTAAAACGTTGGTGTGCAGTAATGCGATGAGATTCACTTTCCCACTAAAATGCTATCTCTATCATACTTGTGTTTATTCACACAGTTGAACAAAAGCAAAGTATTTTTCGATGTTTACTGGAAGTCATCTCTCGAGAGGGGAACATATGCGAAGAAATGAAGTAAAATTTAAATTTATTTTTAAAAGAAACGTTAATTACAAAAAATATCTTGAAAGTATAAAATTGGTACACATTTTATTGCTGAGTTTATCATTTTAAATTGAATACATAGTTAAACAAGGGTTGATTACAAAAAAGTCTAAAATATTAACAATTACGTCTAAAAAAACATCTCAATCAAATTTCGAATTTTCAGATCTCGATTTTCGAAAATTATGAAGTGTTGAAATGTTTGTGTTTGTGTCTCTATATTTGCTTAATTCTACACATGGTGAAATGAAAATATTGATGGAATAGAAATAAAATTAAAAGATTAGGATTAGGGAAATAAAAGGAATCATATTAGACTAATATGTTTACTTGATCAGTTGCCATGGATTGCAAATGATTTACATAAATTGTGAATATATTCTTTATTGCTGACCATGGTAAATGTCCGTATTTATTTAGAAATTTAATACATTTCTTCTGAACGATGGCAGTCATATCCATGTTATCTTTATTTTTGACCACGTATTTGTAACAAAAATCCGATGTAATCAGCTTTCGATCAATTGGTGCACGCGTTGGCTCACAAATTTCGCATCTACAAATAAAACCCCAACGTTCCTTTAAATATGCCTGGCGATCAACTCCGTTTGGACAAGTATCGTACCTGGTGTAAAGCTGTTCACCCTTTCTTATTGGTCGTCCAGTCACACTAAACATGTGACTCGAGGAATGAATGCTTACAAGGTTGGGAGCACATGAATGGTTCAAGAGAGAAGAAACATAGCCCAAGACCTTTTCATCGTCAATAGCGAATTCATTAGAGCTTAAAATCAGGGTGTGATGCATAACCAAATGCATGAAGAAACGCTTTTTTCGATCACTGTCGAACAGACGGCTGACTTTTGGCAAATTTATTGCAACCTCATAAGGCTTATATGCCTGCGATGTGCCAAGAGGATATGGTGCTGACGTTGTAAGTTTTAAAAAGAAATGATATTTTGACTTTGAATCATTCAATGATGTTGGCAATGTTTCAGGATCTTCGAGCAAAGCATCTTCAACAAATTGCATCAGACTGTTCACGTCGGGAAAACTGTCGATAGCCATCAAAAGTGTGTTGATCATGAATTTCATATTAAACTCAAATTCTGAGTTGAAAAATGAGCCACATTCCCATTTGTGAGTTTGATTGCGACTCATGCAGTCAAAGCTGCAGAATGCAACATCGGGACAGTTTGGACAAGCCACACAATTTGTAAAAATTTTCATACAAGTATAGCACGCTGAACTGTCATCTCTAATATGCGGGATGTCATTTTCCACCAAAATAGTTCGTCCAGCTGGAATGTCGCACTTTGCCACCACATGTCGGCCAAATTCTTCGTTATATTTTATCTCCACTACATTTGCCATGCACGGGAAATTTTCGTCAGATTCGTAACTCAGTTTCGGTTCAAATCTTTCCACACGTACACTAGACATCAATTTCATGCTGTCATTTTTACGCTCCTCCAGCTTCTTTATTAAACGATCAGGTAAATTTGCATTTTTAGCGAGCTCAATATCGACTAAGACTTCTTTGTACAACATCATGTGGAAGTTACACGCCGATCTGTTGGAATATGCTAGCGCAACGTTTTCAGAGCCAATTTCAGCAAAACACAAACTTTGATTGTAACATTCCATTGCCTCTGTCCATTTTTCTTGACCAAATAGTTTATTGCCTTTTAAACGTAATTCAGTTGATCGTCGATTATCTTTTCGATTTCGTCTTGTTTTAATTGATTCAATATACCTATCGAATGCAGAATTCTTCTCACATGTAAAAATATCAATGTATTCCGCTTGCCCTTTCTCTTTCTTCCATAAATTGTCCATTTTTGATGATTTCTGCAAAAAAAAAAATGACTTTGTTGTAAAATTTCATTATGGAAGATTTTTTACACACATCCTTAAAATCCAACGTAAAATAAATATGGTACTTTTTATTTCCACTTATTTTCAATTCAATGTACGAACCGGTTTTTTTGCTCGAATTGATTTTATACCAAAATTCGTTAAAATTTTATTAAATAAAGAAAAAAATCACTACTGACAGTTCGTCTGTATGTTTAACTGACAAAATTATAACTGAGTGGGAAAGCCCATTGTTTATATTTTCGCATCGTATGTTTCAAGCGGGCGAATGTGGCGAAGTCTCTCAACGTGACAGTTCCATATCGTTGACAATGGGAACGCACTCAAATTTTATCAGCACAAATATCAATGTCATATTGACGGCTTGAAAGAAACCAACTTTTTTTTTTATCTTATTACATTCAGCTATCTATGATTTTTTGTTGTGGTTTAACTTCACTTAACCAAAGTGTAGCACATAAATAAATGATTAGTCATAAACATAAGCGGAACATAGAGATGTGACAAAGGCTGTGCTGTAAACAATTTGTTCGCATAAGTGTACCGAGTGATCTGCGTAAATTGTTTGTTTGAGATTCACTGCAAGCAAAAGAATCAACATGGCAAACGAAACAATACCCGTATTGCATTTAGTCGTGATTGGTTTTCATCATAAAAAGGGATATCAAGTGAGTGTCAATCAAATTCTATCGACCTGGATCTCTGATTGCACTGGATTTAATACATTTGAATAATATCGATTTGTCTCAGGTTGACTATTCATATCCGCCCTTGTTCGCTGATAAGCCAAACGATTCAGTGGAGTGTCCCGATGGCTGGAAGTATCTACCTACCTTGGCGCTGCCAGATGGTTCGCACAACTTTACCGAAGATACAGTCTTTTTCAATTTACCAAGCTTAAAAGATCCACGGAAAACCGTTTACGGCATTTCATGCTACGTAAGATTTGCATTTTATTACTTATTCATGACATTGGTATTTAAATATTCATTCCGTTTTTTGTTGTTGTTTTTTGCACCCTTTTCAGCGTCAGATACCAGTTGAGGTTAGTGTTCACACTTGGGTTTTAAATCACAAATGAAATACGCCCTTATACTCCTTTTTCAAATAAAAATTCGATTGTTTTTACAGAAATTGAAAATCCGAACGGCTGACGTGACACGGAGTACGGTGCAAAAAGCGGTCTGTGCTCTTGTATCACGCCCATTGTATGGTTATATCGAAGTGAAGCTATCATTAATTGCTCAATCATTTTTCGACCAAGGCGACTTTTCAAACACCGATATCATTCGAACGGCTTACGACCACTTAAATGTGTGCTTAACGGAGAACAAAGCCTCTTTGGTATCGCAGATCCATGTTGGATTATCAATAAGAGATATAGTAATAAGGTAAATTGCGACTTTTCCAATTGGTTTATCGGCACGAGTGCGGCATGTCTAAACTTAGAACTAGAAGTGTTTGCATCCAAAGTTCAGATTTAAACATGTGTCGTTTTGTTTACTCAGATGGAGACACAAAATACTTATTTTGTTCAAGTTGATGTTACTTCAGAAGAAAGTCGTGTGTTTCGGCTCACCCGTTCGTCCAATTTGTACATTAATCCTAAGCATTTTGTCACTGCATCCAAATCTTCTGGAATCTGGATTTGATGAGGCAGCTTGCGTGAGGTAAGACACTCAACTAATTAAATCAACGAAAAATGAAAAGCAAACAATTTCCTTGAGCTGAATTGTTAACAAAAGCAAAGAAAAAACGTATTTTCAACATCGTTTAAGTTTAAGGTTTAATCGATGTTATCTCCATCAAACAGAACCTCTCGGCCGATGTCACCAATGCCAGACTTCCCGAGCGAAAACGATGACGATTCGATTGATCAATCATTGGTAGATGCGATAATCGAGGATGAGGACGAAGAGCTAATTAATGCAAGAAAAGTGTCAGTATGCTTTCCAGATCGATCAATTACGGACAGCAACAATGAGTCAAAGTCGTCTAGTGATATGAATAGTGATAAGCCTCAAGTATTATCCCGAGAAATAAGTGTGGATGCTCTAGCCAATACACTTCAAACGCTGACCGGCATTGATCCGGCCGCGTGGAATGCACCGATACCAATATTTACAAATGGTACACTGTGTTTACCATATCTATCGTTACCTTATCTAGATCTTCTGAGCGATCCATCGGTGAATGGTTTCGTAATTGGAACATCGAATATTCTCTTCCGGCAAAAGCGTCAACTGATGGACATTTTCATTGACATCGAACAAGCCACCATTGAAAGCCATGATCCCGAGTTAAGACGGCAAATTTCGCTATCGACCGAAGATTTACGGTTCATTGATTTCATTGTGCGAAATGTGCAATTTCCAAAGGAAGACGCCGAAGGCAGTGAACAATGGATACGCAAACAGTTTCAAGGCTATATGTTGGCAATGCTGCAAACGGCCATTTTAGCACCAGAAGGATCAAAAGATATCGAACATTTCAACGGAAATTTTATCAATACGTGGAAACAAACCGATGGATACAATAGTTGGTTGAATAGCCCGAACACGAGTGAATTCGATTTGAAACAAGTTTACAGTGGCCATCCATTTGCGGGCACACTCTCTGTGGGCGATGTGAAACTAAAATTTGCTCAGTAAGTTGAACCTGAAATGTGGTTTGGTCGAAATGTTCCATGAACAATGTTTGATGGAACAATCGTAATTTTAATTAAAAAAAAAAGAAATGATTCAAATGATTTTTTTTCCCTTTTCCAGAACCATGAACAATAGTGAAAGTGCTCGAAAAATACATCAAGTGGTGAACAAAACGGGCATTGCGGTTGGAGATGCTTTGAGTCAAGCCAAGGGAGCATTCTCGAGTATATGGTCAACATTTACAGCACCAAATCCCGTTGCAGCGCCAGCAGAGTCCGTTGAAGCTAAGGCTGACACGGTGATCGACAATGAACCGAAAGAAGTGACTGAACCAAGAGAAGGCATGATCAAACAAATTGCAAAGAAAACTCACAACACCGATATGAGCTTGAGACCAGAGAAAGATACGGGATCAAATCAGCAGGGTATCGTTGAAATTGGACGAGAGGCCAATACGCTTGACTCAAACAGACAGAATGATATCATTGACATTTGAAGAATGGATAATAACGTAGATGAAATCTTTTAAATCTAGAACCGGATTCTAATCAAATTGTGTGTGAATAATAATTGATTAAATGAAGAAAAAGACATTTTTAATGCACAACTATTTATGTAACAAAATGGAAGGAAAAGAACAGAATAGTATAGGCACTGGACGAAAGTTGCTTATTAACATAGAATTCAGTTTAAAACATATTAAGCTGTCCTGAGTGGTTCATTGTAATTTCCAATATTTTCTTTTGAAGAGAATTTTTAATGATTCCAACATTTAGTTTGTATTCATATGTCAAACCATGTGTATTACAATTTAGTACTTAGACTCTTTGCTCATTTTATGCGTGTTTATTGTAACAAACTAATTTCATAGACGACAAAAATTAATTAAACTGATTTGCAAATCATGCGGTGAAAACACCTTATAATCCTTATTTCATGACAGCATTGTTAATAAAGCATGCGACATATTTACACCATTTTGAAGTCGTTTTATTTATTACAAGAAAAATGAATCTTCATTTCTGTTGGAATTAATGAACAAGATCTTTGACTTTGAACTACCTGAATCTGAAGAAAGGGATAAGGTAACATGTTACCTGGCTTTAAATGACATGGCCTTTAAATGGGTGAGAAAAATTCTCATTAAAATTAAAGAAAAAAAATGAAAAGAGATATTTTTTGAATTGCAAATAAATTGAACGCAATAAAAGTAGTGGGTAATGTTTCTTTCACAAAATTTTTATTAGTTTTCACTCTGTTTTACAAATTATTTAAATTTATTTTCAAATTTTTGAGCTACAGGTAGTTGTTCCTATTAACATTTTTTTCTTCTAAAACATATTTTTAAGTAAGTTCTCTAGATAATGGAAAAATATCCATTGCTTATTCCATCGATGTGGCTAGAAAACGAAAGATAGAATAAGGGGAAGAAAAAATAGTGAACGGAATATTCCATTCAATTTAAAAGAAAAAAAGCAGTAAAATTTGCAAAGTTGCAACAATTGCATGGAATCAAAAGAACAAAAATAATCAAAAGAAGGAAAAAACTCCCGACACATGCATTCAAAAGTAGCGCCAGAATCACGTTAATTTCAGTGAATCTAACGTGTCACGTTTCAATATGTAAGCGAAGATCCCAACCGCTGTTCGAAAGTGTTCGAAACGAGGCATGTTTGAGTGTGTGACTTGGAAGTAAACAACAACAACAAAAAAACCTGAAGCAAAACAAACACAGATGGTTGATACCACTGCTAAATGGTTTCGTGTGAAAAAAATGTGTGTTGCCTAATCAATTACCTTTGCGGTGATAAATGAACTACAAACTTGCTAATTTAATTCATAATATGCTCAAACAAAAAAAAAGTAAAAAAAAAAATAATTGACAATAAATAGCAAAAAATGTGCATAGAAAAATTCTAAAAATAAAAAAAAATGCAACAAAAAAATCCATGTCGTAATTTTATGACCGTAATCGTTAAATTAACAGCTTGATTATGTGCGGAGCAATCAGATTAAAGTCAGTCAATTGGTTTTGGTACACACACAGCGAGCGCGAGTGGCAGGCAGCTCGCGAGCGCGACATATATCAGTTGACGTGAGTGTAGTGTAGGTATCGTTCACCATGTGTTTGATCTAGTCGAATTTTTTGCTGGTCGTCGCATGGATGGAACGAAGTCGTGCGAACGACTCTCACTCGGATATGGATAATATGTGTGTGTATAAGCGCGCCACACAAAACCAGACAACAGACCCTGAAAATGGATTGCCCGAAGTACATAGACACCGCAGCAGCAGCAGCAGCAGCAGCAGCAGTATTTTGTATGTAGTCTTGATAAAAACCGGCACCGGAACGAGCAAAACTACCTTCATTTCAGTTTGCCGAATGTTACACATCCAGATGAGAGCGCGCGCGACACGAGAGAGAGAAAAGTTCAAAGTAACGACATGAAAATCAACACGATATTCCGTGTGTCTGATGTCAAAGCCATACATACGGCGTGAAGTCATACACAAGAGAGATGAGCGCTCACTCACTTTTATGGAGTGTATGTGTGTTTATGTTGTGTTGTTTAGCACTGACACACACTCTCTCGGGCTCTCTGTCTCTCGATACACACACACACACAATACAGCTTTCGGCTGCACGAGCGCGTTCACATACGCGCACTGGCCCGAACAAAAGCAGCACACGGCACCAAACCGAAATGAAGCAGCATACGAAAACAATTTCTGTGTTGTCTCTGCTTACTATTGAATGGATGGATGGATGGATGGTGGCAGTGCTGCCCGATAAATTATACAAGTAAACGCCTGAGAATGTGGTATGCGTGTGCGTGATTCGCATCGTATGTCAAAAGTCTTTTTCTGTGTCGTCGTCGCCGCTGTCGTTTCGTTTTCATTGTTGCTGATGTTGTTTTTTTTTTCATTCTCTCTCTCTCTCTCTCTCTTCATACAAATCGAGACTTCACTGTTGTGTGTTATACATAGATACGTAGTTTTTTTCGCTCTCTTTGCTCACTCTCTTCTGTGTACTGCTCTGCATTCGTTCCTTGTGTGCTACGGCGCTCTATCCCGATATTTATATGACGTTGAATTTTGTGAGTGTGCGGAGAGCGACGAAAAATGAAAAAGAACACTTTTCTGTGTGTCTACAGCAGTGAGTATGTGATCTGACAGAGAATGCAATAAAAATTAATTCCTCAACCAAATTCATTCACAAACTGCAGAGAGAAAAAAAACAGTGTAGAAACAATAAAAAGAAAAACTCGGTTGGAAAAATCGAAATTCGTGTTGAAAAATAAAATCAAATTTTTTATGAACAAAAAAAAAAGAGTTTCAAGTGTCAAAAAAGTGAAAATTATAAATGGCGATGTCGTAAAGAGATTTTTTTTTGTTTCTCGTTAAATTGGATTGACTACAAGTGTCGTGTTGAGTGAATGATAGAAATTTTGCGTGTACGTGCTACGAAACTGGAAAAAAGAACCCGAAGCCAAAGAGAAAGAGAAAGAAAAAAAAATTGAATCAAAACACGTCATTTCAAAGTTGTGACGATTGTGTAAATTTACTACCGTTTTTGGGTAAAAATCTCTCGACGTGTTTTCCGTGCGTTTGATTTGAATTTATTTTGCGAGTACAAGTGGACGAACAAAAAGATAAGACACAACCATCACAGATTTGGATTAACAAGATTTGCATTGGTAAATAAAAATAATAATAAATATTTCATTTTTACACAAGATGTGAAGAGAAATGTACCGACCAACCAATAATGGTTAAATTTAAAGGACATATCGGACAAAAGACAGGCCAATTATAAGTTGTCATAAAACATTTGCGAATGAAAAAATAAAACAAACGAACCAAAAATGGAAATAGGAAAAAAACCGAACAGTCAAACCATCTGAAAGAGAGAGAGAGAGAGAGAGAGAGAAAAAGGAACGAAGGAACAAAAGGCATTGTGAGTTAAATGACGGCGACGAACAAGAAGTAGTAAAAAAGCGAAAAGGAAAGAAAAAAAAATGTTTTTACACCCGATATATTCGAGCAATCTCATTGTTGTGACGTTCTCGGTTGTCGTTGCGCTGCTGTTGCCGCCGCTGCTGCTGCTTCTCGTATGATGTGTGTACTGCCAACCTATTACATGAACGGATAAAATACTAAATATACACATTCCGGGTGTGTTAAAAAGATACTCAGTTTATAAATGTTTTTCTTGTTGAATTCGATAATGGCGGCCATATTTTAAAGAAATATTGTGGTGCTGCTCAAAAACAAAAGTGCTCTGTCGGGCCGCAAACACCAGTTGTGATATCGAATATTGTATACAATATTTTTTTCTTCATTCTTTTCTCGCGTTAATTTTCCAATTCGTTTCGTCTCTGTTGCTCTCTGGTTATGTTGTGAATACGAGAGGAAAAAAAAGAAGAAAGGAACGAATGAAAGAAGGAGACAAAAAACAAACACAGCGAATATAAATTTGGTTTTAGTGCGAACTTGTTGTACAAGTCGAGCGTATTCGTTTGAGATTTTCTCCATTAGATCATATCGTGCATCTTAATTGATTAACTTGGCATTTTGATTGACCGACATTCAGTGTGAATCGAGAAAGAGATAGCGATAGAGAGAGAGAGAGAGCAACGACGATTGTGCAAAGTAATGAGCTAATTACATGATTCAATTTAAAAGATTTTAATCTGAACATATTTTTCTTCGGTTTTTTTTTTCTCCCGACGATTAACCATAAAAAGACAGACAAAAAGTTGTTTTAAACGAAGATACATATTTTTTTGGTGAGATTAATATTGATAGAATTGGTGTGATATTTTCGAAGCGGAAAAGAGAGCCTCAACCACAGAACAAAGAAAAACATTGTGTTTTGTCGATTTGTGCGACCTAATCGAAACGAAACAAAAACCGAACACACACACACACAAACACACAGCAGTAACAAAGAAAAAACTTGTTTCAACAAAATACAGTCAGTGATAAAAGATCGAGCATTACATGAATACCAAACGTGTCATTTGGCGGTAGGTAAAAATGACAATGAATTTATACGATTGTATCACCAATTGGTGAATTAATTTCAATACTACAGAGCACTTTTTTTTCTTCTTCTTCATTTTGAGTTCGTTTCTACAACCGAATCCGCTATTGTCATTTAATTTGCGATTGGTTGACGGTTCGTAGTTCGCCATTTTCGTTGTGTAAATATTTGTTCGAATGCAAAATTGTTTTTTTTTCTTGGTTCTTCGAAGCCATCAATTGTGCAAATTGAATTGGTTTTCAAATGAAAAATTCAAATGAACACTAGCTGAGATGCCCCATAGACCAAACAATACAATAGTTGCATTGCGTTTTTTCTCTTCCCTTTTCTCACTCATTCAACTCATAGTACAAATGCAATCGAGTAGGTGGCTGCAAACTACTTTCAATGACGCATCTGCAAATCGTAGCTCGTTATATATTCCTCTCTCTTGCTCAGTGCTTGCAGATCGCTCTCGTTCTCTCTCTCTCTCTCTCTCTCTCTCTCTTTCTCTCTTTGTCGATGTAATTACAAAGCGATTATTTTGAATTTGGTTAGGTTTTTAGTTGAGAGCATGAGCGCGTTGCTGTTCGATTCCATGTCGTTACACATATAGTGTGCCAAACCAACAACAATCAATTTTTCCACTACGCGGTTTCATCTACTCTGGATAGTCGATGCCGATTATTGCGCATAACATTAACAGGAAGACATAATAAATGCTTTCGGAACAAAGGCTCTTGGGCGGCTCTGTTGCCGTTGTCGAAATGCGAGTGTGCGACAAAGAGATCCGATTACCGAAAAAACAACAGCAACAACCAGTAACAACACATTTACTAGCTTGAACACAGTTTAATAGTGTAATTTTATGTTTGCCTTTCGATGTGATCTCTCTTTGGTCGTTGGTTTGTGCTCTGTTTTTTTTTTCTTTTACTCTCTTTGAATATACAG